ATGATGACATGTCTCTTTGCAAGCTTAGTTTGGTAGCACTGGTGAATTCCCATTGGAGAAAAGAGTTCTCCAGGATAACAAGGAAATGTGATTTGTTGCTTTACATATTTCCAATTGTTTAAACTGCTTATGGTACCATAAGGGTATTAATTATTTTCGGATTAAGAGCCTCACCAAAATCCAATCCATTTATAAAATAAGTCTTTCCTTCCTAACATATTCACTGAGACCCCAGGCGGTTTTCAAGCTCAGAAGCCACCATCCTGGTTGTAAAGCCCAAATCTAATGTATGTTCTTTGGAAATCTTAAGCAAACGCCTATCTATAGGACCTTGATTTCTTTATTTTAATAGTTTTCTGAAATATTTATGTGCTTTAACCATCAAACCCATTATCTTCTTAAAAAAATGCTTTTCAACCCACAAAGTACTTAGTAAGCTAGTTGAATATAACAACTGGGACCATCCCCTCCAAAACCGTAGGCTTATTTGGCTGAAACAGATGTTTAGGGCAGGGACTCCACTACACTAGGACCCCAAGCCATGCTGTGTACCTCTCTTTGATATGGTCCTCTTTATCCCTTGAGAGCAGTGGATTGAGTTTTAATGGGAGGCAGCATAAGGTAGAGCAATGTTGCTCAAACTGGGCTTCATTTTGGACCCCAAATAGCTCCGGAGCCTTAGGTGTCTGTAAATCCCATGAGAACTCTATCACTGAAATGAAAGCACAGATTTCTAAGCCAAAATTAAGAGTGTATTCTGTTGCTTCTGCCTAGGCTTTGGAACCTGGTCATAGTCAGCAGCTATAGAATCCATGTTGGCATTTAGGATGAGATATGCACTGGCATCTAACGTTTAATACAGTTGATATCTCTCCTTGTTGGAGAAATAAATTTAAAAAAATTTTAATACCTGGGCTCCACCCCAGGACACCTGGATCAAACTTTCTGGGGCGTCAGTATTTGTCAAAGTTCCCCAGGTAATTGTAAAGGGCAGACAGCTGTGAGAACCCACGCTTGCCCACCAGTGGTCATGAACAGCAGGGAAGGGCTTCTCACTTCTGAAGACTAAAACCTAAAAGTCCTAGAGGACATTTAATCTTAAAGTTCCAGTTAACGTCAATCCCTATCTTTCCCATATCTTAGATAGTTTATGGTCCCATGTGATCCTCACAAGAGCCCTGCCATAGCTGTTGTGTTACCCCCACATTACAGATAAGCCAAGTGAGGCTTAGAGCAGGCAGATTGTTGTCCAACATATTACCAAAAAGCAGCAAGGGGAACGGTTTGCAACACCAGCTTATGGTACGTGCAACATAGGGCATGTCACTTAACTTCTGTGAATGTCAGCTTAGTTTTGCATAAAATAAGGATGATAATACAGATCATACGGGGTTACCGGGGCAGAGCAGGGACACATAACAGGCGTTCGGTGTTCATTACATACCCATGTCAGGAGGAGAAGGGCCTTGATAATATATCACCTTCATAAAGCCTATGGACACAAAAATCTTTCTGTCTGCCTCGCCACACCTCGTCTGCCTCGCCACATCCTTTACAAAGAGACTGAGATCAGATAGAACTATAGCATTCTTGGGCGGAGCTTAGACGCTCTGAATAAAGCGAAGAGCTGCTTCTCTTAGAAAGTGCCACCCATTACGTCGTGCTGACGCCACCACCTGGTTGGCTTATACTCTGTTGTGGGTCACTAAGACCCCAAATTTTGCTTTTTAAATGCTAGAAAGTTTGGGATCCTTTCATGACATTTTAAAATTCTTTTTATATAATAGACTGTTCACATGTCTCGAAAGCTGCTAGTTATATCTTCTCTGAACTCTTACTAAGATTTTAAAATACGAGCTGTTACAGATCAAATAAATCGCAAAGGTTTAAGGACGCGGCAAAAGTTAAGTGTTTCCTCCCCAGCTCCTACCTGTCCTTTCCTGATGTCCTCCATGTGAGCACTTTGGCAAAGCCTTTGCGGTGTTGTTCTGCAGGGGGCTTGATTAGAGAAGACAATAAAATGAGAGAAACATAATAACGTACATCCAACTTTCTTGACGATTTTTTGTCACCAAATATGGAAAAATTATAGGGTTTTTTTAAGGTTTTATTATTTATTTGAGAGAGCACAGACGGAGAATAAGAGGGAGAAGCAGACTCCCCACTGAGCAAGGAGCCTGACGTGGGGCTCAATCCCCGGACCCTGGGACCATGACCCGAGCCGAAGGCAGACACTTAACCGACTGAGTCACCCAGGAATCCCAGAATTATAGCTTTTTTAACTAGAACTATTTTATAGAATCTTTGAGCTGGAAGAGACCTATTTGGCCCAACTGATCATTTTTCAGGTGAAAAACAGGCAGCGCATTTCAGTGTTTTGTTCAAGGCTACACAGTAGATTGCAGGTGGGGCTGGAAAGCAACTTCTTCCCTGGGGCCACCTCCCCAGGCCTCTGATCTGAGGCAGTAAGCCCTTGGAAGGGATTGTCCTGCACCCTGCAATTCCTTCACTCTGTACCTAAGAGCTGAGCAAGAGCCAGGCACAGAGGGGGCCCTCCATTAAAATTGTCCTTCCGTACCCCATCTCGACACTGCTAACTGATGCACTCAAAGAAATGAAGTGAGTGTATAAGCAACATATTTAAGTGGTGGGTGGTCCTAAAATGGGGAAGGGGGTGCAAATCTGTCCTGCATGACCATAATCAAGTAATTTAATTCCTCTAAATATTAATATCCAAAAATCAATGTCAATATAACCCTAGAAACCCAAATGTACCACAGCTGATGTTATAGCAACCTGAAGACTTTACTTTGTTATACAAGCAATTTCCAAGCATCTTTCCATAACATTGTACCATTTGCAAAACATTTCCAGATGCATCAACTGATTTCTTACTTAAAACCACATGGTAAAAGAAAGATATGGGCATTAGCATTTATAAATGAGGAGACGGGGGCTGCTCCTACAAGGTCACACAGCCAGCTAATGACGGCGCTGGGACCCAGTACCATCCTTCCACGTCCAGTGCATATCGTCTGTGTTATATGGACGAAGGTTCAAGCCCTGTTCCCCACCTCCATGGAGGAGACAACTTTCAAAGAGGCCAAGCACTAGACATTCCACACGACATCCAGAGAGGACTGTCAGTGGACGAGAGTCTAGCAGCTGCCTCCCGTTTCCCTGCTGCCACTTGCTAGAAGCTGAAGGTAGGGCATGCAGCTGTGAAGTCACACCTGGAGCTTAGTCTGGTTCTTTAGTAACTTTCCTGCTGTTACTGGTCCAGGATCACACAGCTCAAGTCCAAAGCCCATCCTTTGTCATGCATGATCCCTGACACTCAAAACCCAGTGGATCTTCCCAAGTTCCTTTCCATTTACTATCAATATCCAAGCTGCTGACCCCCGTGGTCCCACCAACCTGGGCAAAGCCTGTCAGGAATGTTGGGTATTCTAACATCTTCATATCTTTGCACACGGCGCTGCATTTGCCCAGCACACCTCCCCTAATTCTGAGCCAAGAAGAGGTAGACTTACTCTGCAAGACTCAGTTCAAGTGCTCTCTCCTTTGTGAAGTTTCCCCTGGCCTCCAAGGCATAGAGGATTTGTTTTGTTTTATATGTATCTGTTTTTACAAAGCACTTTGATAACAGCCATCATAGAAAGAGGCAGAATCTATATTATACTGAGTTTTAGGAGTTCCTTGAGGACAGAGGCTGTGTCTTATTGGGCACAATATTTGCACAGAGTAAGTTTTCAGTAAATGGCAGTTGGATAAGTGGATGGATAAATGCCAACAGATGGATGGCAGAACAATCTAGAAGTGCCTAGAGCTCAGTGGGGTGTAATATGGTGACTGGCCAGGAAATGGCATTTTTGAGTCCTGTGCATTCGGACTTTTCTTGCAGATGGGTCATCTTGGGCACATAAGTTAACTTCCCTGAACCTCATTCTTTTTAACATTGAAGTCCACTCCCTAACCTGCTACGCTAACTGGGATCCCCAGGAGGCTGATGGGTAGAAACCGCATCAATGCCTCTTCACACTTGGTTTCCTGTTGAGTTTGGCCAATGGGAGACAGCAGCAGGAGATTCTGGCCAAGAGAACTGTGAGATGGGGTTTTGTACACACCCACCACACTATCTCCCTGTGTGTCCCTCATACTGTGGAAGCCACCACAGTTCCTTCCCACTAGCCCCATGTCTGGGTCCCAGTGACCCCTGGCTCCCCTGACTCCTCCAGGCCCAGGCATGGCCTAAGCACCCCCAGGCCCTTCATTTTCCTTTGTAGTTTCCCCATACCCTGTCCATACCTTTTAAGCCATCTCTTTATTAAACTTCTCAAATTACCAATTTGAGCCTGCTGTTTCTTGCCAGAACCCCAATTGACTCCATGGGCAATATCCTTCATACCCCCGAGGTCTTTGTGTAGATTAAATGTAATTATTGATGTAAAGCTCCTACTGAATACTCCCAGGGTCTCTGCAGCTAATGTATATGGTAAACGGAGTTAATAATCTCTCCTATGTGGATGAATACAAGCCACAAATAAAATGTTCTGCCCTATGCGAAGCGCTATAGAAATGTAGCTTCCAATAAATATTTCATGGCAGGTCACGCTTGGAAAAGAGAAGCATCCCTTCTCCTGCACGTGCACAGGCGCCCAGAGCAGAACCCACCAAGCAGGGGCTAACACATCCTGGGTGCCCAGGGGAAGTACACAATTGCACACTAGGGAAAACCAGGCTCAGGGTGTGTGTGCTCAGCTCCCCGGGGCAGACGGGCTGGATCCTGACAGAAAGAGGACAGCACGTCAGGGAAAGGTCCCCTCCCCCACCCCACTCCAGAAATAAACCAGTTATCGACCTGGATTGATTCTCTCCCCATCACTTCCTCTAAGCAGGCACCTGTGTCCCATTTTAACAAGAAACGACAGTAGCGTGTTCACCAGAATTAAAACATGATGTGTCTGGCTCAGTAACAAGTTCACTTTTTGTTTCCACAGGCTGAACTGAAGATCCCTCTTATTTGCGGGGTGCCAAGAACTATGAACAGACAGTAAGTACCGTGATGTCACTATGAATCCCAATCTCCCCTCTCCTAGTGGAGGAAGGAAGGGTGCCAATGTGCTCCCGTGGGAAGGGCGTTTCCAGTTTCAGGGCCAAGCTGGAGAGGTTGGGGTCGAGGACATGTGTGTTGGTGTTCACAGAGCATTGTTCCCATAGCACCGGCGTTTTCTATGGGCAGGCCTTTTGTTCTTGCACAGCAAGGGTGTGTGGCTGGGATAGGGACAAGATGCCCCAGCGCCACAGTGCCAGAAGGGCACCCCGAAATGCCACCCATCGCGTCACACCCCCGTGCATGAAGGTAGAACCAAAGGAACTGTGGTTGCCAAACTTGTTCCCACAACAGAGAACTTGGAGTCCAACCATCTCTGTGTGGAGCACCCAGAGGGCTGATATGGTCAGTTTAGGATATTCGAATGTGTATCTGAGTCTGCAAAAAATCCATCCTGTTCGTGATGTCTATGACTATAACATATAAATTTTAAAAAAAAGCAGGCCTCCAAGTTGTAAGAAATATTTATAATGAAAAACACACACACAAAAACTTTTAAATTGAGAAAATATGGTGTACTAATTTTAAAATCAATCTACTTTGCTTTATTTTGCCAATCGGAAAGGTAGCACTGTTATTCTCACTGTCATTGTGTGAGACAGAGCATGAGTTTCAGAGTCAGGAAGACTTGTGTAAATCCCTTGTTTTGCCCCATCATTTTACATCTGTATGATATTTGGGAAGTTACCTGACCTTCCCTCCAGAAAGCAGGGTCTGGCCTGGAGAAGGAGGACTGCCGGGTCTCTGGGTGGATTCCCAGACCTGGAGGGAGCCTGGGGGAGAGCCCACGGTAACCAGGTTATGACTGGGTCTCCCAGGTGGGTGCTGGAGGCAGGGTTGCTGTCCAGAGTGACATGGAGGCAGCAGCTCAGCATCACAGCTGTCCCAGATGCCCACAGGTGTTGGAGGGGGCAACCTGACACACAGCCAGGCCCAAGCCTATGGTATGCAGAAGCTGGGGCTGCTGCTTTTCTTCTTGCCATGCAGCGGGAGCTTCCTGGCACACCGTTCATGGGTGGGCTCTGCGTCTGCCTCTGAATCTAGTTTATGGAGCATCTCCTCCATGCGAGGTGCCAGGACTCCCTTCTTTTATATTTGATCCTCCGGTGGCGAGTGGGGCCACATGGCAGGCACCACTACCTTCTCTGAGCATCAGCTTCCTGGTCTACGTGACTCCTCTGAGACAGCACAGAAAGTGGGGGTGGAGCCAGGGCTGGAATTTGAGTCTGTCTGACTCCAAATCCAGTGCTCCTTCTGTTTATCTCAGCTCTGTGGGAAACTGAGGAAGGCAGGGGCTGGGCGGGTGAGGCAAGGGTAGGTCAGAGAGCTGGCTGATCCAGGGTCGCATGACAAAGAGGTTGAAGTATAATCAGTGATGAAGGTGGCAGGCAGCAGCTTCATTGTAAGATAAACAAATAAATGGTCTGTGGCAGTGGAATGAACAGTGAGGCAGACGCATCTGCTTCCCACCAAACTGGGTGCCTTAAAACAACCAAAAATGTATTATTTCACAGTTCAGGGGGCTAGAAGTCCAAAATCAAGGTGTGGGCAGGCCACTGCTCACTTCAAAACCTCAAGGGAAGATGCCTTCTTACCACCACCACCACCATCCTTGCCCCTGGCTTCTGGTGGCCCAAGATGCTCCTCGGCATGTGCCTGCATCACTCCGCCATCTATCTTCACCTTCACTGGCCTTTTTCTCTGTGTCTATGCCTTCTCGTCCTCTGCCTGTCTCAGATCTCCCTTACCTTTCTCTTATAAGGACATTTGTCATTGGGTTTAGGGTCTCTCTAGATAATCCAGGATGATTTCATCTCAAAATCCTTAACTTAATTACATCAGCGAAGACCCTTCTTCTTCATAAGGTCATGTTCACAAGTGCCCAGGATTTGGGCATGGAAATATTTTAGGGCTGCCATTCAACTCACTAGGGCAAACTTTATTTTCAGACCCACCCCTTTCTTTGGGGGTACTGTGGGGTTATTTTGACAATCTCAGCGCCTCCCTTATAAAGATGAGTAAGATCTAATTCCTACCCTCAAACAGCATTAGCTGTATGTCGGGCAGATCATTTTAGTCTTACGCAGCAGGTGATGGGAAAGTGTCACCAATGCTAAGGATTCTGGATGTCAGGGTTCTAAATTGCTTCTGAAATTAGCAGGCTATTCATGTTTCCTCTCCCTGCGACAAAGCTTTCAGCTTCCTGAACAGTCAATCAAAGTACCTAAGACCGCACTCTTTGGAGCACATTGGTGCTGTTAGAGAAGACAGACCTACTTACTCCATCGGGTCTGGATGAAGGGGTCTTGGGTTTGGCTCCAGGATCTCTCCATCATTCTGAACAGAACTGATAAGAACCTTGGTGCTATAGCTCTGAGTGTTTTGGAAGAGATGGAGGTCATGAGAGTGATTGCTTCTGGGCCCTTCCAGTAAGCAAACGCCCTGCCCTGGCCAGGCTGCTTCGGGCACTCAAGAGGGAGACACACTCACGCATCCCAGACTGGAGACTGATGGGGGCAAGTGCCCCTGTATTGCCCACTTTGAAACGTGCTGAAAAGGCGTGACAGCCAACTAGTTTTATTCACTGTTAAAATCATTCACAGTCCTCATGGAAATTTTAGAAAATATGCAAAAGTACAATGAACAAAACAAAAGTCACCATTTATCCAAGCATCCAAAAATAACCACTATTTTGCTGCAGGTTTTTGAAGCCATTTTTCTGTATCCTTGTGTAATATTTTAAAATTTCAGCAAACCTACTTTTAAAACTTCTACTGTTTTCATTCATTCAATAATACCATTTTGTGTTATGAGCACAGTCCAACATTATGGTCTTCTTCAAAATCAAAGTGTTTTAAGGCTAGTGCTTAAATAAGGTTCACAATCCTTTATCCATAATTCCAAAGCCAAAGCCTCCAAAATACTGAAAACTGTAACTAATTTGGCAGCAAAATTTGACCAACAATGAAATTATGTATGTTCTTCACTTATCCCTCTTACTGTGACTATATCTACATGTTTCACAGCAGAAATATTAGTATGTTTAATGACCAGGCATTACTCCAAAACTTACAGGTAAAATTACTAGTATCAGTACATGCACAATATTACTTTCCTAAAATCCAAAATATTCTTAATCCCTCACCCTAAGGAATTTGGATAAGGAATGGCAGACATGTATTTTATCCAGTGGTTTATTTTATCTTGACCTTGGTGTTGGACATTTCAGTTGTTACCCATAAAGTTATATGAGGCAGTTTTATTGCCAAGATTAAACTTTATACTCTAGGAGTATTAGAGAAGGCTGTGTCACTATGGCCCCTAGCATGCAATGCTGTGTGTCCTATCACATGTAAAACAAATCGTGACAATCTATTATTACATAGGGACACAGGTTCAATCAAATTATCTGACAACAATCCACTATCTCTTCTCTTGCTTCAGGAAACTTGCATTTATTTGGGCAAGAGTTGATGGTAAACAAAGCAAACCAACAAAATAGTCTGAGAGCTAGAGAGAGTCTTAGAGGTATGGAATTCAAGCTGCAAGCCGGGGCTATAACCCCAGACTTGAGAGTCTTCTTGAATACTCACTACCTTCTGAGGCAGTGAGCTTAAAAATTAGGAGAAAGTTCCTCTTTGTATTGACACCATCAAAGCCAAGTTCAAAGCAGTGTTATTCGTTGACCCTGTATATTTCGCTAAGCACATAACAATTCTCCTCTGCAATACTTTTCCCATTTAAGTGCACAGTTTGGTGGTGCAAAAGGCAGGGTAAAGAGATAAACAGTACTACAAACCAGGAGTGGTGCCTATGGGCCGGCACACCGCTAGCCATTTGCATGAGGATTTGTGAGGCTATTCAGCATGAAACCCCACTCCCACTCCCACGTCGCCACATAAGACCACCAGCTGGGGTAACAGGTTTCCCGATTCAGAGTCAGCTAAAGACACATGTCTTGGATTCCAAAATCCATGATCATTGTGCCATATTGCACGACTTCATGATGATTAAGAATATCATCTTAACATATTTCTCATCAGGGACACATCCCCAAACGGAACGACTGTTTTGCTTATGAGAGGCATATTTTCTCTTTGAAACCTTGCATGATAAAAGCCACTCAATTGCTGGGTGGGGATGGATATCAGCTCCTCTCCAAAGAGCCCAGCTCAGTGGCTGGTACACAGGAGATGGCCAATAAATGATATTTCCCTCCATATGAATGCATGATAAAACTCCCTGTAAACTCTAGGTCATTTTTTTTCCTCCATGATATAGGTGAACAACCCATGCCTTCGACCTCAGGGAACAACTTCATTTGGGTTTGCAGGAATTCATAAGTGTAAATCCCACCGAATCTTGGGGAAACAAGCTGCAATTTTGGCATCCCGAGATCAGAGTCTTGCACCCAGCAGAGTCGTCAGTGTGGCTGCCTTCCTAGTTCCCCAGAAGTAATTATGAACCAGCTCTCGGGCCAACCAGGCCCATTCACTGGTGCTATCAGAGTGGCATCGCTAGCATTCAGCTTCATGGTTGGCTGGTAATTAAAAAGCTGCAAGCTGTGAGAAACACAGCTGAGATCCAGGGTGAGAGTTTGCCAGAGGTTGCAGACATGGCCGGTGGTTCCTGTGCAGGAGCAGCAGGTGCGGCTGGCCCTGAGACTCATGGAGATGGGTGGGGATGGGCCAATGGAGCATTTCAAGATAGCTTCTTTCCCTCTTAATGGCAAAATTGCCAGCTGTGAAGGAACGACCTGACTTAACTCACCTGTCGCCACTCGGGAAAATTCCCTCTAACCAAACTTCGTCTTCTGCTGACTAGCCACAAGGTTGGACTTTTCATGCTTATGTCCTTTAAAAACATCACAAAGAATAGAGAAGGCTGTGACTTATTTTAATATTGAGTTTACTGCTATCATACAAGTAATGTATATTCAT